AGTTGTTAAAGCAATACTACTGCTCTTCTCCAACCCTCACCCCATCTCATAGAGTCCTTTCTTTATCAGAAGCATTTAAAGTGGTAGATATTTGAATTAATAACCCCATTTTATAATAGACTTCAGAAGTTTAAAGTATTGATCCATTATATGATACTAAGTATTACTTAGCTCCTTAATAGACATTTGTCTTATTTGTACCTGCCCATCACCTTTTTTCTTTATTTATGATTGAGTAGGCATGCCTGCATGTAAGAGTCAGAGAAAGAGAGAGAGGGAGAGAGAGAGAGAGAGAGAGAACCTTCCATAGTGTCTAGTCATGCTATGATCCCCTGCCTCTAGTTCTGTAGCCCATTGCATCGTGGGTATTTACACATGGGCACAAAATGTTTGAGGCCAACAGGTCCAGAAATTGAAATGTGGTCATCATGTGGGATCTGGCTTTTCTTGAGCAATGTACTACCACTGTGCCATGGAGTCACACATGTTCATCACCTTATGAATAGCGTTTTTATCTTAGGGAAAATTCATGTCCTGAGTCCTACCTCCACAATGAAGATGTCAGAATGTAAATGCCACCACGACCACCACCAGCTGGCACTTGGACATGGGGCTATGCTTCTGCCATCGGGTCCACCTGTGGGAAGTTTTGGGAGGAAAGCATGAAGAAACAGGTTCTACCTGTGGATTTAGGGGCTGCCTCTCCTTTGGAGTGATGGAGCCTGCTGACCAGGGATTGTTGAGGTCAGTAGTTGTGGTACGGGGGCACATCAGCTTTTGGTGCTGAGGGCAGTCAGTAGGGTAGGTTCTCTTACCGAGCTGATTTGCCACAAGGTTATGCTTAATGCCAAGCCTCAGTTCCTCCATTTTCACGATTCTGTGGTAGCCCCATAGTGTCTTAATAAATACAATTTGACTTAGAATTATCAAAGAGAATTTTTGCTTACAACCAAGAACCTGATCAATATCAGTTCTATTTTACCTGTTTTTTGCTATTCATTATTTATTTTTTTCTTTTAAGCCTTACAGCTGGAACTTCCTCCATTTCGAAATTTGCAGTTTAAAATCTGGCCATAGATTGTAGGAAACACTTGATTTCCTCTGAGGTCTATCCATTTCCCTTTTCTTTTGTCTGTGATGCACTTTTCTAGATGACCACATGGATCTTGCTTGCTTGTTGCCTTCATGTTTTGCTCCGTTTATCTTTCTGTAAAGGTCCACCTTGACCGGTTCTATTTAAAATTGCAAGAGAGAGAGGCAGTGAGAGGGAAAATGAAAAATCACCCTCCCCTCCCCAGGGGAGATAACCGTGCTGAAATCCCTTCTCCATTCTCCTCCAGGGGTTTTGGGCATGAACGCACATGTGCCCAGTGTGAGTTTGAAACCACTGGGTCCAGGAGTTCAACCACAGTTGGCCATGTGGGAGTCCAGTGACATAACTGCTATGCCATCTGCTGGCCCCAGATAATAAATAATTTATTATTATTGCATATTCTCCCTTATTGTAATGTAAACTCTTGTCATGTTTTGCTCGTTTGTATGTTCTGGTTTGTCGGTTTAGTGATTTGTCCCATGTAAGTAGAATAGTGCCTGAAATAGTAGAGATTCTCAATAAATATTTGCTGAATAAATCAGTATTTTAAAAACAAATATTTTTGTTTTATTCTTTCTCTTTGAAAGGGCTTTCTGTCAGGAGAAAAACATAGTTATCTAATACCTTTGATGACTACAGTTGCAGCTGGGGTGTGAGTTCTCTTGCTGATCACATCCGTGAGGTCACAAATCAAAGGAAATTAGGCCTTAGTTCGATTTTCAGTTTTCTTATTCATTATGTTCTCTCAGTCTTCCAAGAGACAGAGACACAAGAATAGGGCATTTGAGAGTAAAATTCAGCAATAATTCTGATATATATATATATATATCTTTGAAAGGTTCATGAAAATGTAGTTAAAATATGAGATATTTTTAGTGTAAAAAACTGAAATCCATGCAGATTTTTCATAATATGAATATCCATGGGCTTTTTTATTTTTTTTGGAGAGATTTTCACTGTAGGGCGCTTGTGCTCGCCAGACAGACAGAGAGAGACATAGAGACAGAAAGCGAGAAATCACCCCCCAGGGGGGATGGTCACGCCACAATCCCTTCTCTTCCATTCTCCTCTCGGGATCTTGGGCACGCACGCACACGCGCCCAGTGTGAGCTTTAAGCCACCGGGTCCGGGACACAAACCGCAGTCGACTACATGGGAGTCCAGCGACATAGCCATTACACTAACTGCTGGTTCCCATCCATGGGCTTTTTGAAGAACCCTTATAAGTGTGTGTGCATGGGCATATAATTTTTTCCCTCTCTCCCTTCCTTTTTTCTTGTTTAATAACAGTAACTCAAGTAAATGAATTTTCAATGTTTAAAGTAATTGCCAAATATTAGGAGGGGACTGCCAAAACTTAGTGATTCAGACATTAAAGAATTCAAAGCCAAACCAAGGCTTGAACTGCTGATGGATTGTCTAGGGTTTTAAAACACTGAATAAGAATTGATGAACCTGCTAGAATCAACATATACACCAGAAGTTGTGTGCAAATTGGTTGTTCAGAACTTAAGCCATTAGTAACAGAGCTATGAACCTGCTGACAACCTTGAAATAGTTCATAAATAAAAATAAATTATGATGACATGGAACTTTACTATGTGGTCTGGATTCTCAATTCTGGGACAAAAGGCCTGAACAATACTGAGAAGAGTGAGCAGTCAAGAGACTTCCTCCCATTCTCAGACCAATGCAGGAAAAAGTATTCAAATACAAATTGTTTTACCTGGACTCCCACACTGGAATGATCTGCTTAAACTTTGCCCAGTTCCAAAAGTGCTCTATGCTATATGTAAACTCACTAGCCTTTTAAACCATATAATTTTGACTTATCTGAGCCACAATTTAAAAGGTATAAAATTCATTTGAAGTATTTGATAATGGTTTAAATACAGTTATTTGAAACAATGGAAAATGAATTTGTACTATTTGGAATTATCGTCTAAAAAGAAGACACTGCATCCAGTAGATGGCATAGTGGGTAAGATGCTGGACTTCCATGTGGTCAACCGCAGTTTGAGTCCTGGACCCTGATATTTGAAACTCACTCTAGGCATATGTGAATGCCCCAAATCCTGAGAGGAGACTGGAACAGAAGGGAATGTGGTGTGGCCATCCCCTGGGGAATGATTTCCCTTTTTCTGGTTAACAGACATCTCTACCTGGGAACCAGCAGTTAGCGTAATGGCTATGTCACTGGACTCCCACATAGTCGACCGCGGTTCGCATCCCGGACCTGGTGGCTTAAAACTCACGCCAGGCACGTGTGCGTGAGTGCCCAAGATCCCGAGAGGAGACTGGAGGCGAAGGGATTGCGGCATGACCATCCCCCCGGGGGGTGATTATTTCTCGCTTTCTGTCTCTATGTCTCTCTCTGTCTGTCTGGCGAGCGCAAGCGCCCTATAGTGAAAATCTCTCCAAAAAAACCCAAAAAACAAAACAAAACAAAAAAACAGACATTTCTACCTGAAATTCTAGTAAACGACAAACTATTTTAGGAAGACTTCAGGGGTTACTCTGGCAGGAACATAGCCCTTCAGGCTTCTCTGGGAATCAATGCCCTCAAGGCTTCTATTTTTCTTAGTATCTTCCTTATGTTTTTCTCACAACCTAAAGATTGTTGAAAGATCTGGATTGTCTACCCTCTTTCTACCTCAATGACTTCCATGGGAATGTTAGAAGGGAGCAATCCAGAGGAAGTTTTTGCTATTTATGTATATGGATTATTTATGAATTATATGCTTATAAATAGGGATTAATATGGAAAATAAAGTCTCGATTAGGCAAAATTCCAATCTAATCGAATTCAATAGCATACTCAGGTATCATTATTTTATTTTTTATTCTAATTTATTATGATAAATTATAAAAATGGCCCCTAACTAATATTTCTTTCATTTTGAAAATAAGTACAATTTAAATACCTATTGTATGTTATACAGAAATAAGACATCAATTATCAAAGCAACCCAGGCCTAATGCCCTTTAGTCTAATAATGTGTGACAGAACCATCTCTATCTATACACAGTATCATGTTCTGAATGATAATTCTAAGCTTCTGAAATATTTCCAATTATAAAAGATGGTTTTATTAAACTTTGCAAGGAAAGAAATTTGCAATTATAAATTAACAAAAATAACACTACAAAATTTTTTTCCTGTTAACCCCATCAGGCCAGAAATCACAGGTCACACACTAGATTTTTATACATTAAATGTGACCTTCAGAAAGATTTATTTGGCCCACACATTAGCAGCCTTCAAGTGGTTTTATTTCCCCCCAGAAAAATAAAAAAAATGTTGAAATTGAAATTTATGACTTCTGACAAAAATATAATAAATCAGAAGACATGGTAACCCTGGGGCTGGTCTTATCATGACAGAAATCAATAGAAGGTAGTTCAGGATGCCCCTCGTAAGCCAACACTGTCCTCTCCACCTTAGTTTCCACTCTCTCCACCATCTACAAGAAACTGAGCACCTGATCAGGCTAATCTCAGCCCTGTTGCTGTCATTTTATATGTAGTAGTTTTAAAGTAAATTATTTATTTATTCATGTATTAATTTTGGAATGAATTAAAAATCTGGCCCAGTTTACTCAATTTGATATCTGCCTGATCTGGTAAAAACTTGAGGTCGTCACCCTACCTTGTCTTTAATCAATATTTGACTATGTATATACTTTCAATAAAAGTGTTATGTATATGTATATGTACATCTGTGTATGAATATACATATATAGAAAGAGAGAGGAAGAAAAGAAAGAAAGAAGGAAGGGAGAGAGGGAGGGGTAAGAGAGAGGGAGGGATTAATATCCTTAATACTCTTTCACACTTTCCATGAGCCCCTTGTACTGTTTCCGACTGGTCCCACCTTGACGTGTGCCTCCCTTATCTTGTCTTTCAGATGGAATTCCATTTACCTGGTGGATTGGCCGGTCTAATGAAAGGCACCCTTACTGGGGAGGTTCTCCTCCTGGGGTCCAGCAGTGTGAATGTGGCCTGGATGAGAGTTGCCTGGACATTCGACACTTTTGCAATTGTGATGCTGACAAAGATGAATGGTAATGAGAATCACGATCTTTCTGCAAATGTGGAGCAAGCCCCTTGACTGATACCTAACATTTCCCCACAGAGAGAAGCATTTTGATGAGAACTTCAATATGAAATGGGGCTCCTTAATAGCTGTGCTTGCTTTTAATTTGGAAGATGACCAGTTATAGTATTTTTAGGGCTATTACTGAGGTTTGTCACATTAAACATATGGTCACACTACCACCCCATCTTATATTCTGAAGTGTCCACTTCAACAAAGGAAGAAAATAGAATATTGAGCTTTACAACTTAGTATTTCTATAAGACATGAAATACAGGTTGGGAGATAGGAGGTGAGGAAGCTGTGCACTCTCCAGAGACACAGTGAGAGAGGAGAGAGAGAGAGAAGAAATACCTCCACCATGGGGCCTGGTCATGCTACAACCCTTATCCTCCATCTCTCCCCCTGTCTAAATTTTGGGCATGCATACACACATTCCTGGTATGTTTTTCAAGATACCAGGTCTAGGACTCCAACTGCATGGTTGGCTGTGTGGAACCACCACGAGGCCATAGGCTGGCCTGAGAATGTATAATTACATAGACTTTCAGACTTTGTCCCATTCTCCTATGAATGGGAGTCCAACTTTACTTTTTAATATCAATAAAAATACAGTAAATAAAATTTATATTCACCAAGGTTATAAACTAACTTTAATTTTCATGTAATTTTTATCATTTTTGCATCTTAACATTGGGTAATGCTGGTTACAGAGAAGTTAAATATTTTTTCCAAGGCCATGCATGCCTATCAAGTGACAGAGCCAGAATCTGAACCCAGCTGGATCTTTGTCAGAGGATTTTACTGTTCCTTACTAACTTATTTCTACACAGGGAAGTTTAATTTTAGGTTCCCATGTTCATTATCTCTATTTTTCCTTTGTCCTCTAAGTGAACTGCTTGCTTTTCCCTATATTGATTATGAAAATATGTACAGAACATTTTCAAATATGCTTTCATTTTACCTGAATTGAAGCCCTTATTTCATTTTGCCTTATGCAATTTTACTTGCCTCATCTGATGCTGCTCAATTGTAATTAAGAATTCTTATGTCAAGCTGCTCTCAAACAAGTTTAAATTTCTAAGTATTTTCTATTTCACTATTTAAATCATTAACAGCAGGGGCTATTTCACATGTACTTTAAGGTTGAGTCAAAAACCTCAGTTCAATGAGAAAAGGAACAACCAAGTCTTTTTTTTTTTTGCCATAGGGCGTGTGCACTCTCCAGACAGAGAGAAAGAGAGACAGAGAGATAGAAAGTGAGAAATCACCCCCCAGGGCGGATGGTCACACCGCAATCCCTTCTCCTCCATTCTCCTCTCAGTATCTTGGGCACGCACGCACACGTGCCCGGCATGAATTTAAGCAACCGGGTCTGGGACGCAAACCGTAGTCGACTACCTGGGAGTCCAGTGACATAGCCATTATGCTAACTGCTGGTCCCCCAACCAAGTTTTTGACTCCATCAACATCCAGGAGCTACTGCTCAGTTCTTCAGAGCACAAGGGGCTGCCTGACCCCAAGGCAGGTTGCTTAGGTGCCTTCTCCTAAACCCAAATGTTCCATGCAGATGGAATCAGATGAAATTGACTAGAGGCTGAGTCAACTTCTGTGTTCTTTGGGCCCCTATTTGTTGAAAATTCTTTCACAGTATCATGGAGTCATGCAAATCAAATATTACTTGTATTTTGAATGGAGAGTACTATAGTTTAAATGTGCCTCTCCAAATCCATGTGTTGGGTTCATGTTGTGAAGTAATTCAGTATGGTCTTCATCTAGTTACAATGTTGAAATATGGGACTTTGAGAGTGATTAGGTACCAGGATGGGGTCTCTATGATTAAGCCCTGGTAAGTTTATAAGAAAAGGAAATAAGTCAGAGGTTCACAGACACAGCCCTGTGTTCTCTTGCCCTTCCTCCCATTGGAATGTAGCCAGAAGACCCTCACCTGATGTGTTCCCAAATCTCAGACTTCCAAGCCATGAACTGAGTCTCTTAAGTTACCCAGACTCTGATAATTTCTGTTATTGAAAACAGAACAGACTAGAACAGAGACCCTATCTCTTTAAACATTATATTCCTCAAGACTTACTCCTGGTACAGTAAACATTTGGTGCTAGTTAGTGAATAGATAAATTTAGGAAATCTTCAAAGAGAAGGAATCATCACATTTTCCCAAGCTTGGGAAATATGTGCAGAAGTGTTAGGTGACTGTGTTGCCAGGAAAACATTCTCAAATACTCTGCTCCCAGCAGCTTAGAATTCCCTCTTTCTTTGATTCATAAGTTCACCTTCACTGTGCATAATATTAGACATTATTTGCAGATTTATAGACTTGAATGGAAACACTTTCACTTCATTGTATGTAATCACAGGAGCTGATATAAGAGTTAGAATGTCAAGGAAAAAGTTGTTGAAAAGAAGCAGTGTTTTTCCTAGTTACTCTGAATTCTGGCTCCTTCTTGGCTAAATTTTTAAACTTGTGCACTGTATATTTCCTATAGTGCATTTTTTTCTTTATATGCTATTTGCCTATTGAACACTGTCACAGTGCCTCCCTTTTCTAGAGAACAACTGATAGGGCTTGATTTACTGTCCACTCTGAGGCAGTGAGGAGAATGGCACCAGATCACTTAATCTCATTGAAGTGTCTCAGGGGCATTACACTCGTCATCTCTTTCACTTAGATTCCAATGTCTCCCTCCTTTGACCTTCTCACTAGTTCACTAACCTCTAAACCTTTCATGTGTTGCCTGAATTTCATCATCTAGGCTGTGCTCAGACAAAATCTTCAAAACATTTTTCCCTTACCCCTTACTCTTTTTTCCCCCTTCTATAGCCAGGAAAAATTCCACTTTTCTGTGGCAAGCAACATCTATTCAGGTATCAGAATTTATTACTAAACGTAGGTCTTATTCAAAAACCAACCAGCGAGTGGCATGATGGTTAAGGCACTGGACACTCCCACACGGCCAACTGTGGTTCAAGTCCCGGACCAGGTGGCTTACTTTCAGACTTTACCTCTCTCTCTCTCTCTCTCTGTCTCTCTGTCTCTGTCTCCCTATGGTCAAACTAAAAGAAATGAATGAAAAAATAAAAGAATTTTAAAAAAACGGTCAAACTAAAAGAAATGAATGAATAAATAAAAGCATTCTAAAAAAAACCCAACAACAACAACCAAAAAAACAACCTACCAAAGGTCAAGAGGAAGAACTGAGCCTCCCTTTGTAAGAATGCCAGCTTCACCCATGGGGTCCTAGAATAACACGGTGAGCACCTCAGGGAAAGGTCCAGGTGAAAAGGGTTCAGGAAGCTTCTCAAGAGGAAACAGAAGCTGGAATTCTGATTGAATACTTCTGGGTGTCATTCATCGTCTTAGGACAAGTCATATCCTGTGATAAATGCTTTGGTAAAACAATTTTTTATAGAAGCATCCATATGTGATACTCCATTTTACATTTACTCATTTATCACTTGTTTACTGAGTGACTAATCTGTGCCAGGCAAACAATCTGCTGTGCATAGAAAAGCAAAGGCATTATAGTCCTTGTCCTTGAGGAACCCACAAAAACTGTAACATAGTCTGTTTTGTGCTACTAGAACATAATAGCTGAGATTGGGTAATATATAAAGAAAAAAAACTAATTTATTACAGTTCTGGAGTCTGGGAAGTCCATAATCCAGGGGCCTTTCAGAAAAGGCCTTCTTGCTATGTCATCCCATGGTGGAGGGAGAAATGTATATTTGGTAGAGAAGGAAAGCTGAACTTTTCTTTTTATCAGAAGCCATTCTTGAAATAACTAGTTCACTCCAGCAATAATGGCATAGTTCATGAGACAGAGCCCTTATAACCTTTTTTCTTAAAGGAGACTCCACCTCTCAAGACTTGCATTGGGGATTATGTTTTTAATACATATATGTTCGAGGACACATTCAAACCATAGCATGGTGGAAAAGATAAAGCTATTTAGCTGGTAATAAATGGATCAGTGTGATAGATTTGATAACAGAGATCAGCACAGGTGTTCTAGGGCCTATGGTAGATATGGGATATGAAAGTTATATTTCAGATAAAAGCAGTAGTTAGGTTTTGAAGGACCAGAAGAAATTAGCTAAATGATCAGACAAGTTAGCATAGTACAGGCAGGAGAAACTCTATGTACTTAGAGACTGAAATGCAAAATAATATAAAAGTCACCACTTTCTTAAAGCACAAATATATTGGTATGGTTTTTGCAGCTTTCATGTAGGGCACTTACAGGAGATAACAGCAGGGAGGAAGGTCAAATCCAGATCATAAAGCTCCTCACATGTGAAATAAGGATGAGCTAGCTTTGTCTTTAAAAGGATTGTACACATAAAATATATATTCAGACATGAAGCCTGGTCAAACCTCATGGCAATGCATTCATTATTTATCTATCCAACTCTATTATTTACTGCAGAAAAGAAATGTATAAAAACTGACATAATTGTAAAAGAATCAATCCTGTTCAACGTTCCTCCAACCTTACTCTTGACCGATGTGTGGTCAAGCTGGTTTTCCACATATTTCACATTTTTGTTTTAGACCAGAATTACTCGGTTGGTCTCTCTAGTGTTCTAGGTATTTCTAAGAAACCTCAAATACTTTTTCCTTGTAAAATTCCCTCAAGTTTTTCTGTCAAGTAAAACTAATCAGGAAATCAACTTGGGCTTACATAATTAATGCCTAGTAGATAGCAGTTTAATATATTACAACTCTTAGATGATATTATCATTTAAAAGTGATACCTATCATAATACCCACTCAGTATTTCACATACTATATCTCATTGTAATGTTCCAGAAGGTCTTGGGTTTATTGTCTAATTTCCTCAGAAAAGGAAATGAAGTCTCTGAAATGATAAGTGGTTAGTAGGGTCCTGTGGCTAAGGAGGGGGCAGAGTTGAGATTCCGGCTGAATTCCAGGATGCTTTTAATGACTAC